ACCAAACATGCATGAAACTTACCAGAAAAAGTACCGAATTCTGCCAATTTTCCTGCCGGCAGAATCCGCCGGACCCTAGCAGGAAGGCCCGGGAATCTCTATTTTTTTGGTCTCGCCTAAACGTGGTACAAGCACAGAATGCACTAATCTCCTGAACTCTCAGACTCTACATGCATGTTCAGTCAACTTCGCTAACAACGACTGCGGATATAACGACAATTCGCGAATAGCGACAGACTTTTCATTCCCAGAGCAAAGTCCATTCTACCTGTATACATACAGTCAACTTGGCTTATAACGACATTCGGTGGGGCATCAAAAAAGTGTCCTTATTCGCGAAGTGTCGTTATACCCGAAGTCTCATTATATGTATTACAGTGGGATGGAACTTCGCTCTGGGCATGGAGAGTCTGTCGTTATTCGCGAATTGTCGTTATATCCGCAGTCGTTATATCCGCAGTCGTTATATCCGCAGTCGTTATATCCGCAGTCGTTATATCCGCAGTCGTTATATCCGCAGTCGTTATATCCGCAGTCGTTATATCCGCAGTCGTTATATCCGCAGTCGTTATATCCGCAGTCGTTATATCCGCAGTCGTTATATCCGCAGTCGTTATATCCGCAGTCGTTATATCCGCAGTCGTTATATCCGCAGTCGTTATATCCGCAGTCGTTATATCCGCAGTCGTTATATCCGCAGTCGTTATATCCGCAGTCGTTATATCCGCAGTCGTTATATCCGCAGTCGTTATATCCGCAGTCGTTATTAGCCAAGTTGACTGTATAATGAGACTTCGAGTATAACGACACTTCGCGAATAAGGACACTTTTTTGATGCCCGGCCGAGTATCGTTATACGTAAAGTTGACTGTACAGGGTTGCTCAATGAAATCCAGTCGCGTCACTCAAGTACACGCCGGGCGTTCCATGGACCTGGACGTGTGAACACTAGGGGCTGTGAAATGGTGCAAGGCGCAAACTTGAGAGTTCACGACTGGATTTCAGTGAGCAGGACTGTAAACGCTTGTATTGGGCACTCTAGCATAAGAGATGCTGTATTATACCGTAGGATCCCACAGATAGGCTCACTATCTCGTTGGAGAGTTCTTGTAAGATGCACGTTGTCATAGCGACCAGCGCAGTGATGGTGTTCATTCTGCTTCCATGGTGAATACAATAAGACAATTGAAAATAACAAAATCCTGTAGCGATTGACCGTCTCTCCCGCGGAGCTAAGTGGAATGTGCGGCATGACTGCGCTGGTCGCTATGGCAACGTGGATCATGCAATTGGCGATTTGGTAAGCATGGTTCACTGTATGCAAGCGAGAGATATGTCATTCGAACCGGCGTCTTTCACGCTGAACCCTAATTCACAAATCGATGCATTCCCCCTGAAATTCATGTTGATTGTGTTGGTAATCGGATGGCCCGAGCGAAAACAAGTTGTGCTGCCATGAGTAACTGTCAGTTCCAGTGCATGAGTGCAAGGCGGGACGTGAGAAAATTGAATTACAAAGGCAGCGTGCCCTGCATTGACCCCTTGATCATAGTTCAACACTCTCCGTCATGGACTCTGGTTTTATCAGTATTAGCTGGTATATATTCCCGCTGATTTTCTCGCTACTTCTGAGTCATATTCCTGCATGTCAGTAAGCCTATGCCTGCATTTGGACGCATTCTTGTTGTTCTGGTTTTGCCTTCTTCTTGAGACTCTCTTTGGAGTAAGGACAAATACCAGTCCTCTGTTTGTGGTACATGCGAGAGAGTAATCGGAAGGGCTATCGTCAGGTCATAAAAAAACCCGACGACAATTGGCGCCCGGCTAGTGGCATCGTCCCCCAGGACCCTGCAATCGTCCTGTCGTCCGCGGTCTTTCCGGTTTCTTTTTTCTTCACCTGCCTCCTGCGTTCTTTGGCGATCCCCGTGTGCTTCATGTCTCGGCAAGTCTCCTTTGCGCGTCCAAGCTGGCCGCCAGCGAGGCAAGTCAGGTAAGCCAGAGCAGCTGCTTTTAGTTCACTGCTAGACATTGTTGGGGCATTAGTTTGTATAGCCGGTATTGTGACATTTGTTTAGTGTTGGCCTGCTTGTGTCGTACGTGGTCCTGCTCTGGGTCCCTGTTCCCTCCAGGAGTAGTTTTTGTTCCTCCGTGTTTCGCTACCTGGAGTAGTTGTGGCGTCATGTCTAAGGTTACAGTAGGAGAGCCTGGAAGATGGCTGATGCCGAAACCGTTCGGTGGTTCCTCGGGAGAGGATCTCCAGGCCGTCCTGAACGATTTAAGGTTATGTTTGCAGGCTAATAATTATATCCCAGTTACCCAACCCCATGACACGATTGATGCGGCCTCCTGGGGGAGGTTAGAATTAATGGCCCGTGTTGTGTTGTGTTAGAGCCTCGCTGGCAGTGCGGCTCTCATGTTGCAATCCTTGTCGGACACGCAGCGGGAGGATCACGCGGAGATCGAGACCGCTCTGCATGCTCGCTTTGGTGACACGGGCAAGAAGTTGCTCCGCCAAACTGAGCTTCAGGCTCGGAAAGGCCGGGTGGGTGAGACCCTAACTGAATTGGGTGACGCCATCCAGGTATTGGTGGCTAAGGCATATCCGGGAGTCCGGCTCCCGACCGCTGGTCACGGGGTCCACGCTGTTTTGGTTGTGGCCAACTTGGTCACCTCCGCTGTGATTGTCACTCAAATCCACGTGACCGCGGGCATATTCCTCCTGAACACCTGGTTAACACTAGATCTTAAAACTAGACGAGGCGGCTGGTGCGGGTCGTCTCGCCGCCTCACCTAGGTGTGTTGATTCTACCGAGGAAATAGCTGTAGCCCTACCTATTTTTGTAGAGGACGAGAATGAGTGTGACCCTGATACATGTATGCATGTATGCATGAGTGACGCCGACCCCGCTGAGTCGGTGGTGGTTCCGTCAGGTACGATTCCTGAGATTGTGATAACACCAGATATTGAGCCTGTGTTGTTTTCTAATGCTGCCTCTCTGTCTGTGCGTGATGTGTGTGATGTGTGTGCTTTCGAGCACACTCTGGCGGAATCTCACCTACGTCCTCTGGCTGCCGCTCCGCTGTCCACCCCACCGTCTATTCCGGTCGAGTTATCGGATTCCCTCCCGGTGGGGGCTGTCATGGCTAACACCGATGCGGTTCCGTTCTACATCCACCGCGCCGGCACCAGTCTCTTTGCACAAGGTACGTTGGCCACCGATAGGGCTAGTTCAGCTGTATCGTGTCTGGTGGACACAGGTGCAGCAATCACATTGGTGAATTTTGCTGTTGTGGAGAAGTTGAATGCAGGACGGTTATTACGTCCTGCCTCTGAGTTGAGTGTATCGGCACTCCACACTGCGGGTGGGGTACACTAGACGTCAAGGGCTGTTTACCCCTGTCATTTGCCTTTGGCAACATTACGCTTTCCGCCCGGGTATTGGCTGTTGCTGGTCTAACCGAGGAGTGTTTGTTGGGTGCCGACATTTTGGCAGCCCCTGGTTTTACGCTACATTTAAATGGTTCACCCCGTTTGACCTTACAGGGGCATACGATTCCATTATCCAGGGAACGGGGTATGTAGCGCGGAGTAGTTCCGCCAGGTTCGGCGGTGACGTGCGAGGCACAATGTGGTTAGGTTTTTCAACTCTGTTACTCCTATTAGCCAGTGTATGCAGTTCGGCTCGGGTTTTGTTAGTGTTTAAGTTGGCCTTGGCGTTCACTTTTGCTGTTGCGTTTGTAGTCCGGGGTGGGGTCACGTGGCCCATGTGTTCCCGTCCCCCGGTTGCCGCCCCCAGGGCCACCCCGCCTGCTGCTCCGCCAGAACACTATTCTGTCTCCTTGGCGGCTGCCGTGGAAATTCCCCCATGGTCTCAGTTCATTTTGCGGGGAGAGGTTACAGCTCCTCCAGACATGGTTGGTCTGGTGGAGACTGTAGTCGATTCCGATTTGGGCTATGCCTGCCCCGTGCTGTATGTTCTGTCTCTGCGTCTGGTAATATTCCCGTGTGTTGTGCCAATGTGTCGGACGTGCCGGTGTGTCTGGAGTTCCTGCAGGTGGAGGGCCCTCGATCGGATGTTCCGACAATGGTGGGCGCGACAGTGGGTGTGCAGTCGGCGTCTTCCACTTCTTTCACATTTCCTCCGGCGGACCGGTTTGATCTCTCTCGCTTTGCGGGCACGGCGCAGGAACGCCAATCTCTGGTCAGTCTCTTGAACACCTTTTGGGGATGTGATTGCAGAAGGCGACTGTGATGTTGGGGAAACCCCTATTTTCGAACATGTTATTGATACAGGGACCACACACCCTATCCGCCAAGGCCCCAACGCCTTCCCCCGCCCAGGGTTAGGATTGTTGCCGAGGAGGTGGAGAAGATGTTGGGAAAGGGTATCATCTCCCCTAGTGTGTCCCCTTGGGCTAACCCCATTGTATTGGTAAAAAAGCCCGACGATTCGGTCCGGTTTTGTGTAGACTACCGTAAACTGAATGACGTCACCCACAAGGACTCCTACCCATTACCTCGGATTGATGATACACTCGATAGGCTGGGTGGGGCTCAGTTTTTCTCGACACTAGACTTACAGTCCGGCTATTGGCAAGTTCCGGTGGCGGGGAAAGACCAGGAGAAAACAGCTTTCATCACGCCACAGGGTCTCTATGAGTTTAAAAGTATGCCTTCTGGTCTATGTAATGCTCCGGCCACATTTCAACGCATGATGTATGCTGTCCAGCGGTGTCTTTCTCCCCTGTATTGTTTAGTTTATTTGGACGTTGTCATTTTTTTCTCGCACACATTTCGAGACCACTTGCTCAGGTTGGAGGCGGTGTTGACCGCGTTGCGATATGCCAAGTGGAAGATTAAACCAAAGAAATGCCATCTCCTATTAGGAGAGGTTCATTTCCTTGACCATGTGGTTTCGGCAGAGGGGATCTCAACTGATCCAGAAAAGGTTCAGGCAGTACGTGAGTGGAAGGCGCCAGCCAATCTAAAGTTATTACCCGCTTTGCCGCGATCGCACATCCGCTGCATGATCTGCTCCGTAGGGACGTTTCGTCTGCGTGGTCAGCTGAACATCAGGTCGGTCCTGCTCGGCCGCTGAAAGAAATTATGCCATAACTAAATTGGAATTGCTAGCGGTGGTTTGGGCATGTCGTACATTCAGACCGTACATTCTGTTGCGCCCGTTTTTGCTTCCGACAGACCACGGTAGTCTGCGTTGGCTGATGCACTTTAAAAATCCGGAAGGTCAGATTGCCCGTTGGCTCAGCACGTTAGGGGAGTTTCACTTTACCGTGGAACACCGGCCAGGAGCGCAGCATGGGAATGCAGATGGATTAAGTCGGTAGGTTGACACTGACCTGTCAGTTAATGTAGTGTCTTTTTTTACGCCTACCGCTTGTGACATTCGCGAGGCTCAACAAAATGATGCCGAGCTACATGTCGTGATAGGCCGGTTGGCTGCCACTCAGCTCGTTCAGGATGGCGATAGTTCTGTAGTTCGTACTCTGCTGACTCAGTCCGAGACCATGACCATGGTAGACGATGTTTTGTACCATGACACGTTGCCATTGCTTGCCCGCCAGTTAGTGGTTCCGGTGGTGTTGCGCCCCCAATTTTTGGCCGAGGCGCACGCTGGTCAAATACCTGGCCATTTTGGTTCAGACCGCACATTGGCTCGGCTTCATAAAGTCGCATACTGGCCGGGAATGTCGGTCGATGTCTCGGTGTTTTGTAAATGTTGTACAGTGTGCGAGCGTGGCTAAGATCCGCCTAGGGCTGCAAAAGTCCCGCTCGGCACTGTGCGTGTGGGTGCCCCGTTTGAGGTCATCGCCCTGGATATCATGGGACCCCTACCTCTCACTGCTCGTGGTAATAAATATACCCTAGTGGTTGGGGACGATTTTTCTAAATGGGTTGAAATTCTTCCCCTGCAGGACATGAGAGCTGAGACGGTGGCGGACCTTTTGGTCGAACGGGTATGAAGTTTGGTGTTCCTAGCCAGTTGCACACGGATCAGGGCACACATTTTGAGAGTCGTCTTATGTCATGCCTGTGTCAGTTGTTGGGGGTGTGTAAGTCCCGCACGACCCCGTACCGGCCTCAGTCCGATGGCTTGGTAGAGCAGGCCAATCGCACTATTCAGATTGCTCTTCGGGCGGAACGTCGAGGGTGATCAGGCCTCGTGGGACAAACATCTTTCCCTGGTGCAATTTGGCTACAATACAGGGGTCCACCGCTCTACCGGGCTTACTCCCCATTTTGTCCTGTTTGGGAGGGAGGCCCGTCTACCCTTAGACTTGTTCTTACCTCCACCTAATACCCCCGTCGAAGCCCCTTTGCCTGTGTACTTGTCCAATCTTGGGTCGTCTTTGGGTCAGGCTTTTGGCGTTGTGACCGCCTCGGTGTAGCCCAGAGAGTGGCTAAGGCAGCGTACGATCGCCGAACTAAACTACCCAGGGTACAACCTGGGGACTATGTTTGGCTCCACGCTATTCCGCCCCCTGGGTCCAGCCCTAAGCTGTTCCGCCCCTGGACTGGCCCCTGGCAGGTGGGAGTGGTGAAGGGAGTTGTGTGTGCTATTGTCGGGGTGGGTCCTCCTCCTTCACCCCGACATTCTAAGCACCTGACTGTGCATGTGGATAGGTTGCGGGTGGTGCAGGGTAAGGTAGTTGTTTCCCCAGGGGTTCCAGCTACCGGGCCCGCCACGCCTGAAAGACCGGCGGTTGCCTCCATGGGTGGGCCCGCTCTGTTTCTGCCGGCCCCATTTGCGTGGTCGGTCCCAGGGTTGGTTCAGCCCCCGGGTTACCTCCCCACACCTCCCCCATCTCCGGTGGCTGTGCTGCCTGTTGGTGCTCAGGGTTCCCCTCCCTTGGTGGGTAGTCCCCCCGGGTACCCCTGCCCCGAGTCCTGATTCTCCTCGCCTGGGTTCCTCTTCCTTGCTGGGTAGTCCGTTGGTGACCCCGACGCAGAGCTCTCCGGTTTCTCCCACCCATCCTACTCCGCCCGGGACACCACATCCTCGGCGGAGGTGTGCCCTGCCCCCGGGTGGCTATGCTGCCCTTGAGGAGGGTCAGTTAGACCTCTCGTGGTGGGTTTGGTAATATCAATATTTTATACCATGGATACTCCCAGTTGGTTTTGTTTCGTCTTTCTCTTCTCTTTTTTCTTGTCTTTTTTTGCTCAGTGTCGCCCTCGCCGACCCGGAAATGGTGTTGGACCTAATCGAGGAGTGGAAAACGTTTTTCGATTCGCTTCCCGAAGACCTGCGTCCGACTTCCCTTCTGACCGCTCCCTCGCCGGTGATGTCTGCAGCGCCAGGGCCAGTGGTGCCTCGCCGCTCTCGCCGGAGGCGCCGGGCACACCGAGCGGCGCAGCGTCGCGCCGCCCTCGCTGCTCCGTCACCAGCTGGTAGGGTGCCGGACAGTGCGCCTTCCACTCCCCCTGTGGGGTCGGAACTGGTCTCCCTCGTTGAGGTCCATTGTGTTAACGAATTACCAAAATTTTTCCTCATTCTGTAGTTTTTTGTTCGTCGTTTCCTTTGGGTGAGTGGTGTCCTAGGTTGGTGCTGTTCTGGAAAAGATCCCTACAAGGATAGGGCATAAATAGGTGGAGCAGCTCGCCAGCCGGGGTCCTCTTTGAAAATGTTGCTTTCATGTTCCTTCATTGTTGCACAGTTTCGCGGGGCTCCCGGCTGGTGTCAACCCTCCTGGCCTACTCGTCACTTGCCCAATGGTCTCGTCTGTGCCTCTTTTGTATTCGCCTATCTATGATGTACATATTTCATTTCTTTCTTCTTCCTGTCTTCTTCTCCTGTCTGTCTTCTCTTTTTGTTTTTCTTCTCTCCCATCCTCAGGAGAGGATGGATTTTTTATGTGGACGTATGTTGTCCCTGCCCTTTTGGAGGGTATGTGCCCCTTTTGGCACGTGTGTGCTGGGTCCGCGTGGTCGGTGTGCGGGGTCCGCGTGGTCGGTGTGCGGACCGCGTGCGGACCGTGCGCGGACTGCGCAGGTTGCGCATGCTTGCATTTGGACGCATTCTTGTTGTTCTGGTTTTGCCTTCTTCTTGAGACTCTCTTTGGAGTGAAGACAAAATATCAGTCCTCTGTTTGTGGTACATGTGAGAGAGTAATCGGAAGGGCTATCGTCAGGTCATAAAAAAAACCGACGACATATGCATAGTGCAAAGGGGGGTCAATGATACTTCATGTTGCTACAGATTGTCCCATCTTGACCAGTGATTGGCTGGTCTGCAGCCAAATTAATATTGATATCTCATCAATATTAATATTATTAGCTAGGTGTCAGGACGTCGAATGTCTCAGTACTCTGTCAGTTTTGTGCCTAGTTAGTGCACTTTCTGACTGTATAATTATAGTATCTAGTTACAGTGGTGGAGAGTTACTCTTAACTCGTTTCCATATGTCCTTTTCCTTTCTACTTTTATTATTGGCTCAATACGCCAGTTTCAGATATCTCATCAGTTTACTATTTTTCTTGTCATTGTCAGTCTCTGTTTCTCTTTGTGTTTATCTGTCTGTCACTTTCTATCTCTCTCTCTTTCCCCTCTCTTTGTGTGTGTCTTTCTCTGTTTCTCCATGGATATCTGCGATCTCTCTTTCTCCTCTCTTTGTGTGTGTCTTTCTCTGTTTCTCCATGGATATCTGCTATCTCTCTTTCTCACTTGCTCATTTTCTCACTAACTCTCTCTGTCTTGCTGTTTGCAGCTACCCGTGCCAGTCAAAATTTCCAAACATTCACTGTTTCCATTGGTGAGAAGTCAGCACACAAGCACCAGTACTGCGGCCAGTATTGTGGCTAGCACTGTTGTCGGTAATCTGGCCCAGGTAAGACAGTATAATATACTTTAGAACTCTCATTATCGGTGCATATTGATGCTAGAGTACTTAGTAACGATGAATCCAAGACCCTTGGTCGGAGGAGATACTTCTGCCCCGCATGGTGTGTGTTTAATTGTAAAAAATAAATAAATAAACGAGAGAGCTTGGAAGCTCAGGGCCCTACGCTATGTTTTTTTGTCTTGATGACCTAGACAAAAAACGCATAGGGATGTTATAAATTCATATAAATTTCTCCTTAAAAAAAAGAAATAACCTGGGATTCGAACCCGCACTATAGCCCTGCATGCATCCCCCGATACACTTCGCATACATACTAGTTCTTCCACGTTGCTTCACGTTATGATCTTGCATTTGAAAGCCCTATTTGAAAATGCATTGTGGCCAGCCGTCTTTGATGGCACGGTACTGTACGGGTCAGGTACGGGACAGGTACGGTCGAGGGTAATACGACACCGTCTACCGCCTTGATGACCTAGGCAAAAAAAAGCATAGGGATGTGATAGATTTTTCAATTCTCCTATTTTTTAGGCATAACCTGGGATTCGAACCCGCACTATCGCCCTACATGCATTCTCCCATACACTTCGCATTCACACTCATTCTTCCAAGTTGCTTCACGTTATGATCTTGCGTTTGAATGCCCTATTTGAATATTGCGGCCAGCTGTATGTGGCCAGCTGTGTTTGATGGTACGGCACGGTACGGGACAGATACGGGATAGCGCCAGGCGTGACACAAACACACAAACAAACAAACAAATACCTAATTAAAGCTGTGTGGACCCTGGCTAGCGCCAGACGTTACTGAAGTAATGTCTTCTGCATAGCTACGGGAATAAATAAAAAAACACTTGCATCCAATATGCCACCGCCCCTGCTGTGCAGCATCTAATGGTTCAGTGGTATATGAAGTAAGAAAAAAAACTGTCTTCAAGTACACTACTGCTCAATGAAATCCGTCCAGGTGGATTAATGCCACGCCAGGCTATCCGCAGCCCTAGACCTGGCAACACTCGGATGTGAACTACTGCAGGGTGCTGACTTGGTTCACTCGATTGGATTTCATTGCTGGAAATGTTGACGACAAAAACTCAGAACAGGTATCCGTTTTAGAAGGCAGGCCATTTTCTTGGCGCAATTTTGATGAAGAGAAATTAATGTATTGTGTTTGTAGACTCAGGAGAGTGCTATGTTGACAGGAATGCCCGGTAGATCGGAGTGTCCAAATAGGGAATACCTACGGTTTGACATACCTCAAACAAATCAGTGTTTGAGAAGGGAAATGTGTTTGGACCGTGGTTTGAAGTTCTACATAGTCCGTGGTCTATGCGACTTCATATCGGGGCCTTGACCTTCTGATCCCAAGCGCTACCAAGACAAGCGATGTCATACGAGAGGGTGTAAAAATCGGCCCTGCCCAATGGGAGACTGCAACAGGCCTCCCGGGGTCAAAACCCTTATGATCGTGTGTTGCAGCTGCTCTTGTTTCCTACCTTTACACTATGACTCAATGAGGTACTGTCGTGGACATGGAAATCAGGTCAGATGACCGGGGCGTGCGCCCTCAGTGCGTACAGAACGTTTCGTGCATGTACCATATACGTACTGATGACCGCATGGCCAGCGCCCTTGGGCGGTCTGACCTGCGACCGGGTTTCCAATGTCCACGACTGTATATGGGTGTACGTGTATGTGTGTGTGTGGGGGGGGGGGGGGTGTAAGTACTGATGTTGACATGTATCCTGTTCTGGGTCGTCATATCTCTTTCTACCTCCCTCCAACTCACAATCTCTGTGGTTTCTTCTCCCTTCCTGTGCTAATTTCCATCTTTCTATCAATCAATCATTCTACATTTCTCTGTTTAGCTCTCTCCTCCTACAGATCATTACTACACGGTTGGTATGAGAGCATTTTCGCACGATGGATGGTGAGTGCTTGGTCGGTTTGTCTATGAGTCGAGACTTGTTACGATCTTGCATTCCTTACTAGTTATGTATGTAAATCACATCACTAAGTGTACGAGTCTTGGCTGGAAATTGAGTGGAATTGCACCTGACCCAAGAGGCAGGATAGTCAGATTATGCTTATTTGGAATACTCAGTTCTTTCACTACCCAAGTTGTTCCTGTAACACTTGACTGCAGAGTTAGTACACTGATCAGGTTGGTTGTGTGTACACTATTCTTCTCTGCTCCACCATACCAACCCGTATGTGGGCCATATGGTGCAGTGGTAGGTGCAGTCGATTTCCTATTGAGAGGTTGCGGGTTCAATTATCGACGACTATGGTCGCACACGCCTTTCTTCTCTTTCTCATTCTCCTCGCTCTTATTTCATTCTTCTGAGTGGTTACCATTCATTGGCCAGAAAAAGCTACTTCAAACAGCTGTGTGGAGTAGACCAGGCTAGCAGCAGCACCACCGCCGCCGCCGCCGCCGCCGCCAACACCACCACAACATCCACAACCACCACCACCACCACCACCACCACCATAAAGACCACCCACACCACCACCTTAACAGCAATGGGAAGGGAGGGACATATTGTGCTAAAAGTTACTACGAGCATCAAAAGTACTCTTTACTATTGTGTACTTTTCCGCTGCAATGCGTTAGATGCTCAATCAAATAGAACACCGCTTAAATGCTGAAAATCCAGGCCAGAATTCCAGGAGCTCCACCTGGTACCGGCATGAAACCTGATCCACAGCAACATTACTAGAAATTTACGGTTCCTCACAACACACATGAGTGTCTTGTTTGTGATCAATTTCTCTTTCTTCAGAAAACCCATTTGATTCTGAAGAGTTTGTCTGCGATATCCAGCTATGGATTCAACGTCTTGATCCTGATCAATTCCGGAAGCTTGTCCAGCGCCGGGGTTTGATCAAAGACCGCGACCGCATTGATGATCTTAAACTTATACAAGCACAACAGGGAGGTGCGGCCCACAATGAAAAAGTCGTTTCAATCCTTGCTCCTGGTGAAATGGACACCTATCAGGGTCTGTGTAATGTCATTCTGGAAATGGGCTACACCGACCGATATCATCAGATGATTCAGCTCTTACCACAATACCGTGTTCAACAAGGTGAGAGGAACTCTCACGAAGAAAAATGATTCTGCACACATCCTCTCCCTGATTTTCATAACAAAATTGTTCATTGTGCAAATAGAGCTCTGGTTATTACATCTCTGATCTCACCTACCGATTATGGACAAAGACTGTTATTGCCCTTGATTGGTTGACTTGCATAGCTACTTTTTCCTGTCTTCCACCCCCTTATTTACTACCAACACCCACTCACTGGAATCGTATCTTGTACAGTGTCCTGGGTCCCATAGTGCTTTCCTTGTAATCTGATTTTCTTCCTACTGCCCTTTGTGTTTTTCTTGTTTCTATCTCTGTTTTCCCTATGTCATGTGACCCCAGCATTGTCCTCGTGTGTTGCTGCTAAGCAACCAGAGTCAGCCAACGCCATAGCAGCCAGAGCAGACCCACCTGTAACCATGCCAACTGAAGACTGCACAACAGCAGCGGTTGCGTCAGCAGGATATGCAGCGTATCAATCCACTGCAGGGGCAACGAGTCCATCGCCACTTGGACAGCAATTAGCACCACTGTGTCCACCGATGAAAAGCAGAACTGCAGCAGCAAGACCAGGAGCAGAAGGAGGAGAAGTAGCTGGAGTAACAGCAGCATCAATGGCAGCACCAGCAGCAGGGGCAATGGCAGGAGCAGCAGCAGCAGCAACCACAGCAGCAGCAGCAGCAGCAGCAGGGGCAATGGCAGGAGCAGTAGCAGTGGCGTCATCAGCAACTGTATTAACCCCTCAAGCGTCACTCCAGGCAAGGTTTCCAATCGGAACGACAATGTCAGAACGTGCGCATGGAGCAAGAGCAGAGTCAGAACCAGGAGCAACAGCCACAGTACCAGCTGTACCAGCACTTCATCATTGCCATCATCCCGGTGAGTTTTGCTTGCGTTATAGTTGACATTCGAAGGGGACGCAACAGGAAGCAACGTAAGAAGCTACGGGAAGTTGCAGGGATGGTCATGGTTGCAAAGGACTCCATCGGCAATCAACGCTAGGAACAGGAATGAAACCGTATTACCGTACACTGTGTATTATTTATGTCTGATTAGTGATAGTCCAGGAGTGTGTCAGACGACATGATAAATCAATTCCTATGGTTACCATTTGAATAATGAAAAACAAGAATTTAAAAGGCATTGAGTCAACTGATCATGGGCCACAGCTTTATGCCTCACAATGAGTTATGTTGGCTATTGCAATAGCTGCTGCATGTCATACTGTACGAATGACAAGACTGTCTACAGGTCACCCCAGCCACCCGTACATTTTCTACGGCCTGTCTCGTTAGCTTTATGGTGAATGTGAAATAGACTTGAAAACATCAGTATGTACTGAGGTGTCATGACACCAGCCATTCACCATGGAAACATTCTTGAATAAAATCAATGGAATTTGATGTATGAGTGTTTGCAAGCTTATACAAATAATTATGGCAACCTGAAATCACATAATCGGTTTGTGGATGCGGACATGTCTGTGTGCTGGTGTACTTGTGGCAGGTGCACAACCACCTCTTGCTCTGCAGCCCGGTGCAGCCTTAGCTTGCTCCTCCACTGGTAGATCACCATCATCAATGTCAGGTCCTTCTACTACGGCAGAGACTACATTTGGTCTTAGCCAGACCTGTATGAGTGCACCCACCCAAGCCACTACAACACATCCCATTGCCAGCTCAGATAACACTAGCACTGGCAGGTGTGCTGCTGTTGGTAATGCTGCTAGGAGAGGAACTGCTTTGCAGCAGAGTACACAGCCACCAGCGTCAGTCCACCTTGAAAACACGGCACAGATGGCAGCAGCTGCAGTTGTAAGACATGCTTCTTCACTGCCTCTCGAGCCGCAAGCCAAGAGGGCCCTACTAAGCAATGTTGGCAGAGCATTCACCGAGGAAATGTCCAGGCATATTGACTATGTGTCTGCTCCAAGTATGGCTCATACCAGTCCAGGTAAGCGGTATGTCCTTGGAAGCTTGTATACCTGTTATCTATAATGTGCATGTGCTAGTGGAAGTCATTGACTATGAAACGGTTTCTGCATGAAACATCATTTTGCATCGGGTTATTAACCGCAATCAATAAAACTAGCTGAACCGACATTTGTGTACTTTATTCATGCAATGTAAAAAACGGTGGAGACGATGTGCAATAAAACGATGAAAATATGAAGAAATGGTGTAGGGAAAAAATATGGATTCAAACAAGTTTTCGTACAACACTCATCAGGAATCGTCGTTGTACTAAAGCCTAGTTCACAATCGACACAACGCCGACGGTACGGGACGTAAGGGCTTGTCGGGAGGGCTGGGGTGAGCTGTAAAATCCTGTACGATTCGTACGACACGACATGCAGCAGTCGTTGCGACGTTCACCGTCGAACGGCGCGAGTCATAAGGCACGGTCCGTGACGGGGTGACTTTTGGACCTAATTTCTCGTTTTTCGGGACTTCTTTTCAATTATTTCTCCTTGAAAGAAGCGGAATCAAGTTCACAATACCAGTTTTTCGTGAAAACCAAAAAATTAGCCCTGAAAGTTGTGGCATTCAAATAATAGCCCCAGGAAATGATAGAATAGTTCGTCTGTCACGCTTCTGAACTATCCCTAAATACAATAAGTGACATGAGATCTTATGTTGCTAAAATTCAACTCAAGTCGTGCTAGCCATTCTGTGAGTTATCATGGGAAGCGCAGTGTTCGAAATGCTAAAAATTTCCAAGTACGAATCGGGAGCAGTCGGCGCACGACGCCATCTCCTGTTCACACTCGAATTGCAGCCGTTTTGTACGCTTGCGTCCCCGTCTACGCCCGTCTACGGTATGAAAAGTTGGATCGATCCAACTCTTCCCGTCGCTTCCCGATCTGTACGGTAGTACGGTTGCGTTCCCGTTCCTGGTGTTCACATTGGACGCTGTCAGACCGTCCCGTCGCTTCCCGTCGATCCTTACGTCGCGTCCCGTCGCGCCCCGTCGAATGTGAACTAGGCTTAAAGGACACTGAAACAAAAATTGAACTATTATAGAAAATCTAAGTTAAAGAAATAACACTAAGAGCAACAACAGTGAAATTTACAAGTGTGAATTTTCACAATCAAAGCGAGAAATGAACAAAGGAGAAAAGAAGGAAAGACAACGTGATAACACATAACAGCAGTACATTACACCTAGAACATTAACGGCCAAGCTTGGCCGCACTAAACACGACACGTTACTTGAACAATTTCAACCCAATTATACTATCTTTCTGTACACACAAATTAGGCTTGTACAGACGCTGATAGATAGCTTCCAACACTTTTAACTGTAGTCCATAACCATGACGACCACGGCACAATACAGTGAACGAAGAGTCGGAATACGAATTGCAACAATCAGGACTAGCCAGCAGATGATTGTACACTGAAGACTTGCTACCACGAAACCTACGCACAACACTAACACTCTCACCGGCACTCTCACCATCACTCCCATCACTGCTCTCCGACTCACTGCTCCCTCCGCCATCCGTTCCATCCTCCGCTTCCTCTGTACTCTCTCTGTCTCGTCCATCCCGCCTGACCGGGTCCATTGAACTCAACTCGGCCGTCATCCTGCTATCACGTCCCTCCTTTCGCCCTCGTCCGCTGAGTGCGTAGCTTCTGTTGTAGTTGGCTGTTGATCGTCTTGGTCTTTCAATTATGGGCTTGGATGGTGGATTAGTTGTGGTTGCTGTAGATTGCGTTGTTGGTGTTGGTGTGGGAGTTACTGATATGCAAGGTGGGTCTTTTTGAGACCGCATTTGTAGTGTTAATGCAGCTGTCAGTGTTGCTCGCGGTCTGCCACTGGCAAGCTCCACCGCCGCAAGAACCGATGGCGGAGGATCAGGAGGAGGCAGTGGGACCGGACCATTTCTTCATATTTGCATCGTTTTATTGCACATCGTCTCCACCGTTTTTTACATTGCATGAATAAAGTGCACAAATGTCGGTTCAGCTAGTTTTATTGATTGCGGTTATCAAATTTTTGTCTCCTCCCCGTGTTTTTAAATATTTTAAATCGAGTTATTACTTTGTATTTAGATCACATTAGCATGAGGCTGTTTCATGGTTGCAGCTGAATTTGCATTAAAGCCAGCTGTGTCATTTCTATGTACACTCATACCTCTCTTATCCAGGCAGTCTGGGACCGGACCATGCACTACGGATAACTTTGAAATATTCGTATCTCTGAATCACATACATTTTGATGGGGAAGGGTCAGAATGATCACTATTTCAACTAAACGTTGCCAAAAGATTAGTAATATTTCCACTAAACTTCACCCACAGGGTGCCTGGCAGAGCAATGTGCCTGTAATTTGGAGGTCCGGATGAGAGAGAGAGAGAGAGAGAGAGAGAGAGAGAGAGAGAGAGAGAGAGAGAGAGAGAGAGAGGGAGAGGGAGAGGGAGAGGAAGAGGAAGAGGAAGAGGGAGAGGGAGAGGGAGAGGGAGAGGGAGAGGGAGAGGGAGAGGGAGAGGGAGAGGGAGAGGGAGGGAGAGGGAGAGAGAGAGAGAGAGAGAGAGAGAGAGAGAGAGAGAGAGAGAGAGAGAGAGAGAGAGGAGAGGGAGAGGGAGAGGGAGAGGGAGAGGGAGAGGGAGAGGGAGAGGGAGAGGGAGAGGGAGAGGGAGAGGGAGAGGGAGAGGGAGAGGGAGAGGGAGAGGGAGAGGGAGAGGGAGAGGGAGAGGGAGAGGGAGAGGGAGAGGGAGAGGGAGAGGGAGAGGGAGGGAGAGAGAGAGAGAGAGAGAGAGAGAAAGAGATGGAGAGAAAGAGATGGAGAGATAGAGAGATAGAGAGAGAGAGATATGAGGGTATCGAGCACTCTCTGCACAGAGGAAGTATTTCTGTGTGTAACTTTACTCATATACATTCTCTCTACCTTTAGTTACCATAACTGGTGACCTGAATTCACAGAACATCAGTAGAGAAGATTTTAAACTTTGTGCACAAGTGACTGTTCCAATGTGACTGCTCTAATTTGCCCTGCTGCATGTTTCAGATTCCCAGGCCTCTCTGCTGCACAAGTCTCAGTCCCTCCTGGACAGCCCCGAAATGTATGAAGGTGACTCAGGGTTGTCCGGCTCAGCTGCTAGCTCAGACACCGAAGGTAAGGTATGTAGGGCATGCCTTAAGTGGGCATTTAGGACATGTTGGATTGTGCAAATCCGTGGGCCTGGGATCCGGATTCGCAGTCTTTGGACCTGTTCGATTGTTAGAATCCGGATCCAGGTGGCATGGATTAGGATCTGGTCCACCCACGGTTGTACGGTCGCTACTCAGGTTTGCAATATATTGACTGTGAATGTTTGTTGTGATTTCTTCCATATCAATTCCTCAACAATGTGAATGGCCAGAATGGACGGAAGATGATCTGCGCAATGCTCGAGTCACGGTCTTTTTGGACAGCAAACTGAGGACATCTGTGGATGACTGTGATGGAATTATCTTTGACAGTTTATCCAAGCAGCACCTCAATAAGGATAATGTCAGAATCAAGTCGAAGAGCAGAATAACTGATCCTGCACTCGTGCGAGTGGAAAGAAAAGGTTTGAAATATCCCGTTCTCTACATCTTTCATGTTTATTGAAAGTGAACAGTTAAGAAGGACAAAATTCTACTCCTGTACCCAGAAACAGACTGGTAGACCAATACTATAGATTCTGCTCCAGGATTTCAAACCAACCATGTGCATGTGTACCTGACACAACTCTTGCAACCTGGCCAGAGCCGGGTACGTTTAAAGGGGAAGTTGAGGCAAAAACCAAAATTTCACCAGTTGTAGTCTTCGGGGTGCTGAGTCGAATGGTCTTGGTCCGAGAAAGCTGAGACGCTCCCTTCCTCCTCGAATCCCAATCGAACTCGCGCACTTCCATCGAAACTGGGTGACTGTGCGCTACTAGATGGGGATTTGTATGCAAAATGTTACTAAGAGCGCTATTTCGTTCTTATAAAAGCACGGATGACCGCGATTGGCCCGTATGTTGTAGTCTTTTGGACGCGAAGTCGACTGGTTTTGGTCCGAAAAGGCTGCGATGCAGCGTTCCTCCTCTATTCCCAATCGAACATAGTTGAACAAGGGGTCACGTGCTCCTGGGTGCCCAAATCACCTGGTCACCACGCCAGCAGGCGACAACTTTCACACCAAGGTTCAACTCGAGTTCAACTCGAGTGACAGGACTGCACCCAAAAAAGGTCAAACAGGCTAGTAAGTTGTACCCTGCACTCAGGCTGCAGGCACGGTGACCAGGTGACTGGTGTACGCAAGAGCACGTGACCGCTTGCTTGTTCAACCACGTTCGATTGGGAATAAAGAAGGAACGCTGCATCGCAGCCTTTTCGGACCACAACCAGTCGACTCGGCGTCCAAAAGACTACAACATATGGGCCAATCGCGGTCATCCGTGCTTTTATAAGAACGAAATGGCGCTTTTAGTGACATTTTGCATACAAATCCCCATCTAGTAGGGCTAAGTCACCCAGTTTCGGGGGAAGTGCGCGAGTTCGATTGGGATTCAAGTAGGAAGGGAGCGTCTCAGCTTTCTCGGACCAACACCATTCGACTCAGCACCCCGAAGACTACAATTGGTGAATTTTTGATTTTTGTCTTAACTTCCCCTTTATGTGCGGCTACTGTATGTGCACTCATCGATGCATGGCTGGTGATAGAAGTTACACATAATCATCTTGTACATCAGTCAGGCATCTGCAGAGAGGGAAAACTGCATGATGGCGATTTGAAATCACAATGTACATCAAGTCAAGTCGACCGGAAAACACAAATTCAAGCATTGCAAGAAGTTGTTGTATCGATGCAATCAGTACCCAGATTCAGAAGTTACTAAGAGCGGTGCAGACCACATATAAATGTAGCCATCTTCACGATGAGGTCAGCGCCACCCATGTGCCAACCAGAATTGCTGCTGGCTTAGGTGTCTGGGCGGGCATGTGCGTGTGCAGACCTACATTACTCACAATGCATGTTTATATGGGTGTGATGTGTGTATGTGAGCATGTGTCTGTTTGTGTGTGTGTGTGTGTGAGCATGTGTCTGTTTGTGTGAGCATGTGTCTGTTTGTGTGTGTATGTGAGCATGTGTCTGTTTGTGTGTGTGTGTGTGTGTGTGTGCGTGCGTGCGTGCGTGCGTGCGTGCGTGCGTGCGTGCGTGCGTGCGTGCGTGCGTGCGTGCGTGCGTGCGTGCGTGCGTGCGTGCGTGCGTGCGTGCGTGCGTGCGTGCGTGCGTGCGTGCGTGCGTGCGTGTGCGGTCATGTACGTGAATCTACATGTGTCCTGCAGGAGGAGATATAAGGACATTGGTCCAAATCATCATCAACGGAGAGCCTGACGACTACACTCAACATAGGATCCGAAGGGAAGTGATTGAGGACCTGGAGGACCTTACCTTCTCCAAGGAGAAAATTCAGGTCATCTACACAGGCGCCTGGGATTCCATCCAGGTGGTACTGCTGCTACCAATGAAGACACTGGGTCATCTACTCTACCTTGCAGTACACTATCCTGGACTGCTGCGAGGCCTGGATATACTTCAAATCATTGACATCTCCTCTTTGACCATAATTGACTTTCGAGAGATAACAGGTATTTTGCTATTATGTGTTGTGTGTCTTTCTATATGTGTGTGTGTATGTGTGTATGTGTGTGTCCGCAGATTGTGTGTGTGTATGTGTAGGTATGTGTTTGTATGTGTGTGTATGTGTATGTGTGTGTGTGTGCGCGCATGTGCGTGCGTGAGTCTCGTGCCGAGTGGAGGGCAGTATACACCTGGGCAGAGGGTGATGCATCTTCTTCGCACAGCATGTTTAGTGGTGCAGCTGCTGCTGTCAACTGCTCTTTGTGTGAGAGGACTTTCTTGCGCCTCCAGGATAGTGCCAGGCACTGGTGCACTGCAGAGCTTGCAGTGCAACAACAGCGAGGGTAATGCCAGTTTGATCGCTGTGGCAGTTGGTTCTTAAGGTGGCTCGTACCTAAAACGAAAAATAGTCCTTTAAGCATCCTTGTGCCCAGGTTTGGAGTATAAATATTTCGACTTTTTGCCCTTGTAGGTTCGAGCCTCCCGGGGAAAACTCTTCTTTTTTGGCAGCAGTTTTGACAAGAGTAGTTTCTATGATCGACCCCAAAGGAATGTTCTGGTGGTAACAGAAACATGAAACTTGACAATAAATGCCAGGCACTTTTTCATCAATCAAAGGAACATCCTTACCAAATTTAAAGTAAATTCATGAAGCAGGTCCAATTTTATTGATGGCAGTAACATGTAAATTTACCCCAAAATCGACAAATTGAGAGCACCTGACAGTATGCTTTTGGTTACTGCAGGGGCTATACCTTTTCAGACCCTTCCCATTACTATCTAAGTATACTGTGGAAGACGGCCAACGTGGTCCCGATCCACAAGCGATCTTCCCGCTCAACCCTTAAGAACTACAGGCCCGTATCCTTACTGTGCATAATCTCGAAAGTAATGGAAACTCTTGTAAACAGAAGCATCGTAAACTATTTTGAGGACCACCATCTGCTCACGTCGCACCAGTTTGGATTTCGCAGAGGCCTCGGGACATCGGACGCTTTGCAAGCTCTCCAAACTGCCTGGGCAAGCGCTGTGGGCTGTGGAGGGGCGGCTCGTATCCTTGCTGTGGACATCGCAGGAGCGTTTGATCGTGTCTCACATGTCGGCCTCCTCCACAAGGTGCGTAGCCTAGGCATCGATGGTCCGCTTCAGAGATGGCTGGCCTCGTACCTGGACACGCGTTCCCTACAGTGCCTCGTTGGAGGGCGGACATCATCTAGGTATACGACCTCCGCTGGAGTCCCCCAGGGAAGCATCCTTGGACCAACGCTTTTCCTGGCCTACGTCAACGACGCGCCAGATGTTCTCGCTGACGGCGCCAGCTTGGAGGCCTATGCTGATGACACAACTTTGTACAGCTTAGTCACCTCACAGCAGACCCCAACAGCCGCCGCGCAATCACTGCAGGTGTCCGTTGACCGACTGCACGAGTGGGGTCGTACATGGAAAGTGATGTTTGAACCGACCAAATCCCAGGCCATGACAGCCACCCTCAGACGCACCGGCTTAGATCTCCCCCACTCCTGTTTGGTAGCACACTGGTGCCCGAGACAACCACCATCACCCTCCTTGGTGTGAAGGTGGACGCCAAGTTGACCTTCAGCGATCACCTACGCTCCGTAGCCACCCGTGCACGCCAACGGCTTGGGGTCCTAAACAGAGCCGCCCACATACTCACCCCCGCGAGCCGGACGACCGTATACAAGGCGTTCGTACGACCAGTCATGGAGTATGCGCCTCTTGTATAGATGGGAGCTGCGCAGAGTCACCTCCAGCGTCTGAACAATGTTCAGCGCCCCGCGCTTCATGCTTTCGGCCCTGGGGCAC